GCTGGGAGATAATGCCTGGTGTTTGTCACACTGGCTGCTTTGGGGTCCGGTGCTGATCTTTTCACTGCTCTAATGAGGTGAGATGTTGCCAAGATGGGCACTAGAGGTAGGAGCTAGGTGAGAATTTGAAGAGAAATGAGAGTTCAGTATGTTGTAAAAGATTTTTTTTTAAACTAATAGGCAAGTGTGAATAATGATGTTGACCAAGTGAGTCATAATTGTCGTCACTTGTTTATACTAACAGATAGTAAAACATTGCTCTGTAGCAAATTGGCTTCTAACTCTGTGCGTGTTTGCTATGACAAACTCTTGTTATGCTGCATCTGCTGTACTACGTATGTACAGTTTACAGGAAAGGGAAGTACCATCTTCACTGTAGATCACTTTTTTCTACTCTAAATGAGTCACATTGAGTGTGTCTTTCAAGAAAGTAACAATTATGTTTTGTGCGTTGTTGTCATTATTATTATTAATATTATTATTATTATTATTATTATCATTATTATTATTATTATTATATCTGGGGGCAGGTAGTATGGGCTTTCATCTTTTAGTGATTGCAGCTTTGTTTTTTCAACTCTTTTTGGAGCTGGAGCTTATTGGAGCTGTCATAACAAGGACTTCTTTCAAAAGTGCAATTTCCAGGCACTTTCTCTTGCGATTAGGGCTGTCATGTCTAAGAAAATTTAAAACTTCTTTGTTTTTGCAAGTACTTTTTTAATGATATTTATGCATGATTAAGGTTCTTTGTGATCTAAAGCTGAATATAGATGTAGAGACCACCCGTACAGATGTTAGACACGTAAGATGTGCCATTTTATCAGACTGTTTATTAGTCTTGTCATGAGTCTCTTAGCAGTCACATCAGGAGTCTTTTACCAATCATGTCATGTGTCTTGTTTTTGGAAGCCCCAGTTCTGATACTAAGTAGTCAAGTCAAGTCAAAGTTTATTTATATAGCACTGTTGTCACAAAACAGCTTTACAGAAAAAAACAGGTCCAAGCCCCCATGAGCAAACCAATGGCGACAGTGGCAAGGAAAAACTCCCTAAGAGCAAGAGGAAGAAACCTTGAGAGGAACCAAGACTCAAAAGGGGAACCCATCCTCCTCTGGTCGACACTAGATAGCAAACAGCATTAGTATAAAATATTAAAAAACAGAAACGATTAAAATGCAGAAAAGTACAGTTGTTGGAGGGCCAACTGAGGTGTATGTATGCAGGGTGTCCGCAGGTCCTAAAAAGTCTTGAAGTCTTTAGTTTAATGATTTTAAGGTCTTACATTTTCTTCCTCAAAGTCTTAAATATGTTAGTGTAATGCCACTGGATGAGGTGGTGACTAGTAAAATCATAATATAAAATTTAACATTTAAATTTAATTTGCCTAAACATATAAACACCGTGGCATATGTGAGCTGCAGCTGTAAATATGCTGTGTATAAATGGAACAGAATATAACCATATTAATTTTGCATCACTAAACTATGGTAGATTTATGTCCTGGCATTAAGATTTTTCTCCCAAAGGTTACTTGTTCCACCCAATTTAGTATCTGAGTTGTTCCAGCCCTGTTTTTTGATTTGTGTGTTTGGGTGTTTGTGCAAACACTCGCACAGACACAACTCTGAAGCAGAATTAGTGTTGCCTAACATGCTTTAGTCTTGCTTACAGACCTAAGAGGTATGTTCAGTTTGCAAGAAAAGGAAGTGCTAAATGGAATTGCCTGTAGAAATTTTGGCAATGGTCTTTTCCACATTGCTGTACCGAAATGGAATCTGAATGTTTTGATGTCATATTAAAGCCAAGGCGATAAATTTGGTGGTCAGCTTCTTCCCTGAACACTACATATGTCCTATTTTGTCTGTTTATTTTTGATGAAGCTCACAAAGCTGACCCAAATAGCAAAAGCCTGCTTATCACCCCGCTCTTCAGGTTCTCCAACTTCCCATAAACCCACAGTCAGCTCAGCTGCTCCCATAAGGACCATGGAGGCCATTTGCACCGTCTGATGATGGATTATTTATCGCCCTCTCCATGATCGCCTCCAAAATTTTTTGGAGTACCATTAGCTTTTTTTAAAAGGTCCCATGAGGGTGCAGAGGTTTTTTCGCTCCGCAGTAAAGACTAAAGCCAAGTCCCTTCTCAGGGCTGGAGCACATGTTTTTGTCGCACTGAGATACGATTGATTTACGTGTCGGTGGTGGATTCCCTTCCTGCTGCTGGACTTGGGCCAACTTGGGAGGGATAAAGTGTGTGGGGGGGACCACAAAAAGGCCCTGAAGTGTCTGTGGTAAATGAGAACAGAAAGTGTGGTGGCAGTATGGTGATCTGTCCCCTGGCAACCTAGTTTTTTTTTTAATGATTAAGTCTTGTTTAAGCACTAAAACAAGAACTGGTAAGTGCAAGAGTTGAGAAAGAGGAAGTGGGCTGCTGACCTGTACTTGCTAAACACTTGCTATTCATTTTGTGGCCAAAGCTGACTGAGGTTTAGTCATGGCTCTTCTTAAAGTTTGACCATTTCACCCCTTGCCCCTACCACTTAGCCCTTAGCCCTCTGTTTTGCGCGTTCATGTCTAGGGTTACAGTGTCCCAATTTTTGTTGAGATAGAGGGGTAGGGCGAAGTGTTAGGGCTACATGGCCCTCCAAATGGAGGTTTTTCAGAAGCTGGCGAATATCTGACTTCAGCTTCGTATCTCCAAAGAATAAGTGGTGGGCGATAATAAATAATTGTCTTATACCCCCTCTTTGAAAGCATATGATGCCCTAAATGTAACTAAAGCCCAGCATTGAGGTTGCTGAACTTTACCCTTCTCTGCTATCACTGAAGACGGGCCGGGTCGCCTACAGAGCCCTGCTAGTAGCCTGTTAATGAAGCAGTGTTTTTTTTTATTTTTTTTATTTGAGGATTGTCCATTTCGTAGGGCAAGATTTCAACCACTACTACGGTGCCACTTAAAAACAAGGGGTTGGGGTAAAAAGAAAAAATGGGATTGGGTCTTACATTCAGCTGTAGACTGATAATTGAAAAAACAGCCCTGAAAGACCTGATGACAAGACCATGCTTATTGGCCTCTACTGGCTTACATTCATTATATCATGCAAGTCTACCACAGTTTTCATGGTAACCATGTTCTTGTGTATCAACATCCAGTTTATTCTCTTATACTACATGAACGGTGTGAAGGTAGATTGCATGGCCTTTTTTTCCATTTCAAGATGTTCTATTCAATATTTTAAGTTTTTAAATCATAAATTATTCACTGTAATTGTTCATAATATGTTCTTGATTGGTTATATGTCTAAAATTTGATCACTACTTTTCAAATGTGTGGCATTCTGGATGTTAATTATATCAGAACTTCATTCTCAATGTCATAAAGCTTTCTCAGTCATCAAGGAATCAATTACAGTTCTGTTCATCATTCTGGATTAAATTTCTTCTTGTTCACAGCTTCCTGCTAATTAGTAAAGTTATACAGTCATAGCATACAATCGTTACACATTTATCTGCACCATTTTTTTTTATTTATTTAATTGAAAACAGTGATCCCTAACTTTTGAACACTAGTGCACAAATTGTTCATGTGATGAATTTACCATTTGCACGTTTCCAATATGGAAACGTGATTTTTTTACAACATTAGACCTGGGCAATTTGGTGATTTCCCTGCTCAAACACACTTGACTCAACTCAGTAGTTAGTTGGCAGGTTTAGTTGGTGTGTTAGAGCAGGGAAATCACCAAACTGTGCTGTCCATTCAGGAGTGGAATTAGACACCCCTGCTCTAAATTTAGAGCGGTGTACCTCTAAATAGCACTAATAATGCCCTGTTGTGGACTTCATAGTGGCTGTTCCTCCACCCCTGCCTCCTGTTGACTCCCAACCATGACTTATCATAACACTCCCCTTGCAACTAACATACATGACAGCCCTGCCCTGTGCACCCCTGAATACCACCCTTCACCTATTATGGCTCCACAGTTCTAATTACTCCACTAGTGAATCACCTGCAATGAAGTGTCACTTTTTGACAAAGTGGTGCTTTTTTTGTTTTGTGGGGCAGAGGAAGGTAATTTAGTGTGGCTAGTGAATTTGTCAGTGTTTGGGGAGGGATAATGGAGTGTGTGGTGGTGTCAAAGCAGCATTTGTTATGCTGATGGCATCTGATTAATACGGCCAGTTAATGCTCTCATGAGTCATACTCAGCACTGGACTTTCGTTTGGTTTCGGGTCTAATAGAGATCATGGAGATTAGCTTTTGTTATTAGTTTGCCGCCGCTATCATAACAGATATCCATTTCTGGCCATTTTGATTTTAAGTTTTGATTTGAGTAATAATAGAACTGTCTATGCTGTAATTTTACAGATCAGGGATTGAAAAAAGCCCATTCAGGACAACTCTTCATACTCTAGTGATTAAGCCAACCCTCTAATTAAGAAAGCATTATAGGCTTGGTCAACGTCAGTCCATTACATGTGTCACACTGACAGTGACAGTTCTTTGCTACCATTGACAAGAATTATGAGCAGCACGCTGGACATGACCCCTAACAGGAGGTGAAGACTCAATTAGCTTTAAGCTTCTCTCTGCAATGATGTGTTTTCAATGGGACTGTGTTAGACAACATTTGTCCATCATAACCGTTGGTGTGTTGGATATGTTTGGTCAGCTGCTGTAGTTCCCCAGCTGCGTTGTGGAGGGGTACACACCTCAACTACATAAACCTGGTATTTTTGGATTCTGATAGCCAATATACAAAATATACAACCTATACAAACATATGTATAGGGCAGCCTTCTATATTCTCCACATATTTTAGGTATTTTGGAGACCCCCCCCCATATGTATTGGGTGGGTCCGGCCATCTGTATACTTGCTAAACATCCTGTCATTATTGCCCCTGTCCTGCCTTCTCTTTCTTTGTGCTTAGGAGAAATGAAAGTCACATATATTAGGCATTTTGAGGAAACTGATTTCCTCTCTCTCTCTCTCTCTCAGGTATTGGGTGGATCAGGCCGTCTGTATACATGCTATACATCCTGTCATTATTGCCCCTGTCCTGCCTTCTCTTTCTCTGTGCTCAGGAGAAATGAAAGTCTAGTGGTGAGTTCACTTTTCTGTCTCTCTTTTCTTTCTGTCTTTTTTGTTTACTTACATACAAGTACCACACATTAGAGCCTGCCCAGTAGGAACATTTAGTCACTGATGTTGACTCTAAAGAGCTAAAAACTCTGGTAACCAATCAGGGCTCCAGACTAACTTTTTTCAGAATCGTCCCAGAGCGGTCCTAAAAATTTGGTTTCTCATCCCATATTGAAAATTGGCTGTCCAAAATATTTAACTGCTTTGTTTACATTTCGCTCTTGAATTTTTGTACTACCATATTGCAAATTCCCAAAAACGACGGATAGCAATACATAGAATATATGCTTAGAGCATGACACACAATGCATACAAACACATGTATGATCCGTAAATGCATTTATGTTTGAGCGTATTTGTATTTAAAGCTAAATATGTAACATTTTAAAGTACCATTTTACCCCATGTAATGAGTTGTATTACTGAAATACAAAACCATTCACTGTAAATTCAGGTTTTGTTCAGGTTTCCGTGCAATAAATTAATATATTTTAATACAGGAATGTTGCTGCTCTTCAGAACCAGTCTGCATTGCAGTGGGCTTCAGAAATAGCTAGCAAACCATCATCATAAAAACAGTTGCTAACGTTAGATTTCCTGTCATTTATGGCTGCCTTAAGAATAAGGATCGAGCAAAATTATCATTATTGCACCCTGGAATATAATTTGGCTCTGAAACTGCCAAATGCTTGGGTGCTATGAGACATAGTTGTACACAACAGTCAGTGGACTTCAGTCTGTGAATAGTACTACCATATCCCACTAGATTCCAGAAGGACTATAAACCTCCATCATACAAAGGAAAAATGTCATTTGAATGTCTGTTACAAAAACATGAGCAGACACAATTGTTAGCTTGATGCTAATATTACATTACATTACATATTAATTACTGTTGTCAACTAGCATTATGCTAGCAGTAGGAAGATGAAGAAAAAATGGCACTTATAAAGCGATTTAAAAACAGCTCCTAGGTTAAACCTTGCTATATTTAGTGTGGGCATGGACGACCGGCACACTACTGATTTTACGACTATAGTTTTTACAGACTATAGGTTTGTTTTTGCATGCTAAGTAATCTTCCCTGAAGAGTTCCAAAACAATAAACAGTGTCCTATGCGCTATTTTTATTGTTCCCAGAAGGATGAGACAGCAATAGTCTGGAGCCCTGAACAATAATATTGTGTAATATATAAAAAACCTAAACAGATATCATCAGTACTATTAGTACTAATACTAATTTAACTGATTAAATTAGTCAATTGTCAATTGAATTAGTGAAGTGTCAATTGTCAAGCTCTGTTTTTTTTTTGTTTTTTTTTTCGTTTATATTTTTCTTGTTTTTCTTATTTCTCATGTTAACATGTTCTAATGCTACAGGTTAGGTGTGAATGTCTTGCCAACCATGATGGTGTTTTGTGTTCAAATTTACCATTTCATCCTGCATTGCTACAATAAACATGAGAAACTAGTGTCTTCCAGAAGACTGGAATAAGACTATATAAATATATTTTCAGGATTTTTTCAATAACGATAAATCCAGCTTCAGTGTCAACTGTTTGACCCGATATATTGGTCAGGCCCCATCACACATGGAGGTACTAGGTCAGAAGTCTTGAGCAGACCCTAGACCTTTGTCACAGAGGATGTGCTTTGAGGCAGTGGGCTTCTCAGTTTTTTCTAATCCCTTCTAGCCTTCCCACTATAGCCTGCATCAGAGTCCCATGCACAAGACTGATTTTGCATAGATGACACTGGGAGGCTCTTGTTTGTTTTTTGCTCTCCTCTGGCAATCTGCTCTTTGATTGTGTGGCCTGGATTCAAGGGGAACTCTCAGTTTCTTTCACCACAGAATAACATTTCAATCAGGCTGCTCAGAGCCCCCAGAGAGACTAAAATTAGGCAGCCCGTCTGAGAAAGAGTCCAGTGGCGAGCCCAAAAGAGTGATTTTAGCATTATGGCCTCATTATCGTCACATCCCCAGTGGTAGAATCAGACTCAGAATCCGAGAAATACGCCATGTGGTGAACCCTGAAGTTCTTGTGTCTATATTTGCATCTCGGTATAAATCGTAAGAGAGGCCTGTTAGCTGGAACTAGGCTTCAGTGAACGTGTTGGCAACCATTTTCAATGGGATTGAACTCGCTCTTCTCCTCCACGACCCTCTGACCTAAAGAGAAAACAAACAGGGTTTAAAAACAGAAAAGCAGGGTCTGAATTTCTCATCAGACCTCAGCCACGTCTCGTGCATGTGTGTATGTGTGTGCGGCCTGCCTGCATGTGTGGGAAGCGAGCTGCTGTGGTTTGAGCAGCTGTAATGAACACATGTGCACACACACATACTCAAGCAATAGTTGTGCAGTAGCCATGCAACGTTAAAAGAATAGTTCGGTGAAGAATCAAATCAATATCATTTATCACCTACCCCAGCTGCAGTTCATCAGCCAAGACATGTTTGATATCTGTTGTCTGCTTCTGTAGTTGCTTGGTTTTGTGTGGTGTCATTCCACGCTAAACAAACTCCAAAGTTTGTGTGTTTTTGCATCATTAGGGAATCGGTGGTAAAAAACTGAACTACATTTAGGTTATCATTTTTTTGTTCTGTTTACTTTTGAAATAAAATGGAGTGCAACACCTCATTTCGTAGCTTTATCATTATTTGAGATGCAACTCATAGCTGTTACAGTTATGAAGCCTTAGCTATGCTAAAATACAAACATGACTGCGTAGTGACAGAGGGCTACAAAGCGGGGTATTATGTGGATGATCAGTTAGTTACAATTTTAGCTTAAATGCTTAAATAAGATCCATCTATGTTGTTTTACTACATTTTTTAAACTTAATTACATAGGTTTTCTATAGACTTTTGGAGCAAATTAAGATTTTGGCATGTATTTACAGAGATGAGTTTGGTGACCCTTCAGTTCCAGTGTTAGAAATGTTAGCCTAGCATCTCCCAATGTACACTAGAGAAACAGATGCCAGATATCAAACATGTCTTGGCTAATTGACTGTACCTGGGTAAGTGATAAATCATGTTGATTAGATTTTTTGCTGAACAATTCCTTTAATGTTAACTCTGTGGGTTAGGTGCTGGAGATTGGCATTAAAACCATGTATCTGGATTTTTAAAAGAATAACTCGCTTATGTTTGTGTAAGTTCATGTAACGATAAACCATCACTGTTTTAAGTAGAAACAGTGATGGTTTATCTTTACATGACCATTTTCCAACCTCTCTTTACCTCTTAGAATTAAAGAGGCTTTTTTGTCACTGTGCCTTTAAGACTGATATGTGAACATGTCTTCTGTTTAGATTGGCTGCCTTGCATTGCAGCTCATTTAAAAAGCAGTCTGGGCTGTAACATTCATTATGATTGACATTAATGAGTGTACAAAACCACTGCCTTAGGTGGATAGTTGTAAAAAGGTTGGTTTTCATGGTGTTACAAAAACAATGAATTCAAAACTAGCCGTTTTTGCTATAAAGTCTCCATTTATGGACAGGAAAGTGAGTGAATATGTTTTGAAAGTTTAATAATATTTTTATTCTGCATCAAACTCTTTTATTTAAAAAGTAAGGAAAATTTGGTTGTCCCTGAATGTTAAATGCAGAACGTTCAACGTTCATTTATTGTGTTTAGCATGTTCTTGCTGACAGCTAGCGTGATACTTGATTGTTCTGTTTGTTTAGTGATTTATCTTTGTATTTTAGACATGTGATTTACTACCAGCTTACAGTATAACTCGTACACTGACTGTTGAACATATTTTCATTTTTATGTTTGATTCCCATGTGTCCATGTTTAGATACCGCTGTTTTGCTTAGTGCACAACACAATATCCACTGCTTTTGTTTTGAATGCAGAGCCAAGACCTTTTAGTATTTAATTCTCATTTCATTGCATGTGTAGCCAGTTTTACCATCCACTTTCCACTCCACTGGTACAAAACCTGAATTAATTACTCACCTGAAACAGTTACTCTTTAACACATTAAATAAGTTATATATATACATATCTTACTGTCTAAGAGCCTCCCACACACATGCACTTCTGTCGTTCACTCTGTCCTTGTTACTCATTCCTTCTTGCCCTTTACATTGATTTGGACTTAATAGGGCTCTTTTTTTCTGTTAGGCTTATGAGTATTTTGGTATGGCAAACACATTGAGGCAATGGCTTTTTGATGACTCCAATCACCATAAACCTGGAAATGGACTGATGTTTCATGTATAAAATATGATGGGGAAAGATAAACGACAGTGGTTATATAGACTAATTTGGTCTTATTTCACATGTACACTTGTTCGTTGTATAATTGAGACATTAACTCTTACCAGTTGTTTTTTAGACAACAAGAGATATTTCCTGTCCCTTATAAATACTTCTCATTTCTAGGCTCTTCGACGTTTTTCCTTATGTTTTTAACTCTAAATCTAACCTGGCAGTACATTGTTTCCTGACGTGCACCGTTTGAGCTAACTAACAGATATGTTTTTCTCTGTGATCCCCAGTGTAAGCACATCTTGGCAGCCTACCTGTGCCAGGTCATGGGCTTGTGCCAGCAAGAGCAGGTCTCAGATCAGCACATGACCCTCATCCTCTCAGGAAGAGCCCAGCCAGATCCATGAAAGCACCATCCTGAAAGAAAACCGTCCAACTGCGTAGCAGTTTGGGTTCCACTACAGGAGGTGCCGTGTGATTGGATGTAAAAAGACGATGGGTTTTTCCATGTAAGATTCCCATTACCTTTTCCTGTCCAAACACTGTGAAGCTGTGCACCAAACTTGATCTTAAAGTATGTATATATTAAAAGAGACATGCGTATTTATATTTATTCTTTACGAAACAGATGTTTTATAACCAATGTTTTTTCTCAGAAACTTGAACTGTTTCACTGAAAACCCATAAAATCCTTTTCTTTCCTCTTCCCCTCTACACACACACACAAATGTATCCCAGGCGACCAGTTTTGTGTGAGTGAGTGAACTCATTTAATCGGTTTCCAGAGATTGTACATCTGTTCATTGAGCATCTGCCATATGTAGCTTCCTTTTATTCGAAGGGTCAGCACCCTGTACAACAAACAAAAAAAATTTCAGTATTTTTAGCATTTGCATGAGCAGTTCAAGGCCTTTTATTCTGCAAATCTTTTTATCAGACAGTATGTTGTGTCATGCATGCTGTGGAAGCTACACAAAGTGTTTAGTCAGAGAACATAGCCAGGTTAACAGCAGTGGTTTAATTTTCAATCATATGTGTTTTTTGGAAACCACTTGACATGCTTTTTTTCCTTCATTGACTGCTAGCGCCTGGCCTGTTCTCTTTGGCTTTGGCTTCTTTACCACAGCAGTGCTTGTGTTTGTTTGAAGGAAGCCTGCCAACACATTGAACTAGTTACTGTCAGAACACAATAAATATATTAATGGTTTAAGATTTTTCAGGCCACATAATATCATTTTTATTCCATTTAAAGCAATCAAGGGGCTAATTTTTTATATAAAACAACTTTTATTTACAAAATGTCACCAAACATACAGAATCATGTTAAATAACAGTACACAGCTGACAAATTCACTGTGGTAACACTTCAACACTTAAAAGCACTGAACAACAATTGTGAACCACAGTATATGCTGATTAGTGGCAAATCCTGTAGCACGTGTCAGAATTACACCTGGAAAAAAGTATTTTCCCCCTTCTTGCTCTCTTCCAAGGGCATGATTGTTAGAGCTAGAGAAGATCTTTTACTTAACTGAGTAGTTATGCTTGAAATTAACTGGAAGGCTTTTTCCTATTCACTGTGTTCACCAAATTAAAAATAGATTACTAAAGGAATAAAATGACAGTAACACCAGTACAGTGCAGTACAGATTGGTCTCCATGGGAATGTCCAGTAAATTTGGCACACTCCTGCAGTTTAGCCCTTTAGAAGTAGTAATGAAACAAATGTATTTGTATTTTGTTTAGAACCTACAGAGCTACTCAAATTCTGCCTCTTCATGTTTATCTGCCTCACCCCCTCCAAAAGCACCAGCTTTCGCTCGATGAAGCTACTTTTACCACAGCCCCATCTGCCATTGCTCTAGCGCATACAGTCAGTTTTTCATATCTGACGAGAACATGTCCGACCACACATCAGTGCCGTGGCCTAGCTCAGCCAGACACATCTGACCATTTGCAGCCTAAGAGAGTGATAGATTTATTAAAGCTGGAAAAGGCAAGTGTTTGTCAGTGTGCTGTTAAAAAAGAATCGGGCATTCTGATCATTACAGAGCTATTAAGTAATGTGCTGTGAAAAGCCAAGGAACTGCTTTTAATCAGCTCCCTTTTGAAGTGGGCCTGAAAACACTCAGTGCAATTCAGAAGTAGTGGTGTGGTTGATGTTTTGTGTTGAACTTCAGACCTCCCGAAAAAGAATGCTGATGTTCTTTCACACCCTAATGTGCAGTAATTGTCTGCTTTTAATAATAAAAGACTCCCATTCATCAAATATGCAAAGCAAATTGCTAGCCTACGATGAAAGTGAGATAACATTTAGGTCTGTCAGTGTTCAGTCCCATCAAAGCGCTTATTCACGTCGTAATTACATTCTCAAATGCCTTCGACTCAAATAGTCATAGCTTTTAACAGAACGGGCATTGTTACTTGGTATATGATATCTCTGAGCAGTCTGAATTTTGATCAACTGGGGCATAGTATAAGGGGGGCGCAGCAAGCAGTGACTAAAGATACACAGTATCAACAGTAGAACGTGTTCAAGTGGCAGCCAACTCCTAGCCTGGATCAGAGGTGACACTCTACAGCTCTGTGCTGCAGACACTCTCTGCTCCAGGCTCTCTGCTTTTGGCCTGTATAGTTTGTCGCAGTTGAACATTCAATGACAAACCGGGTCCCTGGGGGCAGTGACGCACCCGCAGAAAGAGAAAACACCAAATCCCCTGCAAGTCCGGCACCAGTGCAGCTGGGGCCACTCAGTGTGTGCAAGAGAGACAGAGAAAAATAAGCGCATGTGTAACGGTTCAGCTAAAAGTGCCACTCGCAAATGTGGAAATTTGCTTTTTGTGTCCTGCAAAGCAGCTTATTCCTAGAGTCTTACGAAGTCACTCATGAGCAACAGAACATGGGAACAGTTTATCCACAATACTGGCGGATTCCAGGAACAGAAGAACTGCCTGATGTATAAAATTCTCTCTCTAACAATCAACAATTTACTTACTGTTATCTTTCTCAACGGACCACAGCTTGATTTTCTTTGAACTTCAATGAATTTCCTCAAGACACTTCATGTCTGCCTACCCTCCCTCTGTGGTTTTCCTGAGCTTTCTAAAGCAACCTTCTAAATTGTGAAGATTGATTAAAAAGGTCTTAAAAATTCAAACATGGCACTTCAAAAATAAAAGTCACAAGTCAGGTGTTAAAACCCCCTCCATTATACCTTTCACCATGACAGTGTGATTGGTTTATGTTCCATCTGGCTGTGCATTGTTCCTCAGGGTTGTTCACAAGTCGTGTCAGTTCCTTCAAGATGAGCTACTGGTGATGCCACACCATAAACATTGGTGCTTTCCAGATATTTCTGCTTTCTATGGTATGTTTATTACCAACCCGACATGACCCAACGTGGCTGAATCTGTCCAGGGCCACGAGTCAACTCTTAAACCAAGTTTAGAGGCATTTTGACTGGTTTGTTTCAGACATCTGTCTGTTAAGGCTTGGAATGAAGTGTAAAGTTTGTTCAAGCTTGTTAGTTTGTCAGATTGAAGATAAGGAACTCCTGTATTTCCACTGGCGTTGTAGTGATAAAAGAGCATATTGGCCTCCTTCTATAATAAAGGGTCCTTTTTTGTCCTTATAAATAGCCTGGTGGTCCACATTCTGGGCATATTCCTCAATACCCCCGTCAGATATTTTGCAGCTATTCTCTGGTCAGTAAACATTGCTCCTCATATAAACGTATGGTGACAGTACACCATAAATCTTTTGAATGACTGACTAAGGATACGGTTAAAATAAGTTAGACTAAAATAACATATATAGATCCCCGTGGCTATAACAGGGGATCAATGGTCATGTTTACTTGGTCTGTTTTTCGGCTGCTCCCATTGGAGCTAAGGTATATCTCGTCCCGTCGGCACAGGAAGTGGCGTGCTATGATCTTGCGGAAGGTGTGCCTGAACTCTCTGATGCGGTAGGCGTAGATAATGGGGTTGACGGCTGAGTTGGCATGTGAGAGGATAATGGCCACGTACATGACAAAGTCAGGCTTGTTTAGCTCGGTGAAGAGCGTAAGGCAGTTAAGGATGTGTACGGGTAGCCAGCAAAGGGCAAACAACCCCACGATGAAGGACAAAGATTTGGCAGCGCGAATTTCACGCTGCAGCAGCCCGTGGTGGTGGCTCTCGCCGTTCCCCACTGTGCTCCTGAGTTCAATCTGCCGGAGCTGCTTGCGTGCCACCGTGAATATTTTGACGTAGATGCCCAACATGATGAGCAAGGGTAGCAGCACACAGCCGAAGAAGTTGAAGTAGACCATGTAGCGCATGTCCACCACGTTTTCGAATTGGCACGGGAGTTGGCAGCTCTGAAAGAAGCCCCACTCTGTCGCCAATCCCTCTCCATTACTGGAGGTGAAGTTTTCGAACGGAACACACTCGTTGTAGATTCTACTGCAGGCGCTGCCTTTTTTGTTCCAGCCTGCGAATGGGATGAGGCCAATGATAAAGGACAGAATCCATAAGATGGTGATGATCTCTCTTGCCCTCTTTCCTGTGACCAGCTCTTTATACCTGGAGAGAGAGGAGAGATGATGTGAAGGCTGAACTGTGGTTTTCAAACAACAAAGATGAGCTACTTTATTTTCTATATACCAAAGGGGAGGGCAAAATATATATAATAAGGACATAAACAGCTTTAGATGCAACATCTTAAAGAAACTTTGGAAGCTCCAGTTGCTTTCTTTATAGATGTGCTGACTAACCCTCCTTCTGGAGATCTACCTTCCTGCCAAGCTCAGCCAAAAACTGAAAACACATCTAATCCAGCTCGTAGAGGCCCCTGAAAACACATTGATTATTTGGAGCAGGCATGGCTTGGAAATAAATTTTGTGGAAAGGTTGATCTCCACGGTGCCAAATGGTGACGAATTTAAGTCAGTGACTCAAACTACTAACATGACTTTTGTCATACAATAACTAATCCTTGCACTTTCAAGGCAATGTTATAGAATCTTTAGGAAGAAGCATTCCTCAAAGTTTATTTCACCAAAAGAGCTCAAATAATAATGATTTGTTTCAGTGGAAAGCTTTGCCAACTCTTTCTACATTGAACACAGTAAGAGAACATCAATACTGAGCACAGCAGAAAAATAATCAAAAATGTAGCAAATCATACCACCCATAAAAAGTCACAGTGGAAACAGCCTTAGGTTAATAAGTTCCTCAGGCCCACTTCCTGTTATTGCTGCCTGTTTTGGCTTCTTGGAAATGCTTTTACAATATTGACAATTATTTGCATACTCTGCCTTTAAGATGACACACCACATCTTTGTAACTTTTCAACAACGTCAAGTAAAAAGTTCCATCATTGCGTTCAAACTGCATGCAAAAGTCAACCACTGGTGCTACAGGGAAGTATTTTCTACACTGGATCATGATTCAAGCGTGGTTATCGCCAGCGTTGGAAGAATGATGCTTCCACAGAGGAGTCTAGCTCAGTCTACCTCAGCTTGCAGGCCTGAGTGATGGCCCAAACTCTTCAGCGCCGGTCACTTCATCACTGGCCCTCAGACGCTGCCCTCAGAGTCTGCCTGCTCTGATGGAGCCAAATGAGTAATACACAGGATGCATTATTCATCAGGCCCCCCTGAAAGCCTGTCACTGCGTTTCTTTTCACCGTGGACACAGATGATCAAGGCTGCCATCAATAACTGTCTCAAAGCTGCACCATGATCTAGAAGCCTTTAGGGCAGAGTGCACTGCTGAAGAGTTTGCAGTTTTTGGTTTGGTTCTCTGGCATATGGAAGGGGTAACAGAGTAAACGTAAAGGGTTTTCATTGCATCAGTGGAATAATTTAAACCTCCTTTATTTACACTTTTCCTTTCGACTAGTTTGTGATTAACTTTCTGCACAGAGGTGTGTTGCTGCGTCTTGTTATGTTTAGTTTCATCTTTCATTTCTTTGATTCGCTCTCCTCCTTTCCCCGTGTTGTCCAAGGACACATGAATGAAGGAGAGAGTGGATTCGTTCTGGCATGGCGATGGTCGCTGCCCCCTCCAGCCCCCTCCCCTTCATTCTATTCTGAGCACACATCTCTCTCGCCCCTCCGCTCCCTTGCTTCCGCTTTGAGACACTGGTCAGCATTACGAGGACAGAGTGCTTGTGATGCATGGCGTGGATCCCTCCTGATTGCCAATCTTTTCAGAACGTGTACATTAACTAGCCAACATTGTCCCTTGCAAATGAAGAGGTTTTTCTTTGCTTCCTGAATCAGTACATTTAAGACTAATTTCCTTGTCAGCATTTGCAGCTGATCCCTGTTTATCCCCATCAGCCCCCGGTGTTGGCAGCACCAACAGAACGTCTAATAGGCATGATATATTTAAAGGGTTATGGCAAACAAGGGATAATGTGAAAACTCGACAGTATCTTTTCTGTCTGTAGAATGTATCTGTCTGTCTTATCTATTCTGTTGGCATTTAAAAGTATTTTTCTCCATGAATAGAAATGTACTGTGATCTATATGCACTTATTTACTGCACTTGCCATTAGAATTCCAGCATACACATTTATAAGCAGCTTTTATCACTGTAATGTGCACTGAAATAACACAGCAATCACTTACATGTCTGGATTGTGCCCAGTTTTACTGTGTAAAGAAAAAGTAATTAAAAACTAGAGTGGGATGTATATGTGTATAAGGTTAGGCTTCAAGGGAATTCCACGTTTTTTTCCCAAAATTTTTTTATAATTAAATGGTTAAGATACAGATAGTCATTCAGTGGTCTGATGTGAAAAGTGCTATTCAAGAGAAACTGAGTCACACTTCTTCACAGTTGGGGGGTGATAGCAACCAGATGTCTGATAAACTGAACACCTCTAAAAGCTCGCTCTCAAAGTTATTACATGAAATAGTTGTGAATACAATGCTTGATGCCTAAGACATTGTTTTACGATAGTTTTGAGCCTAAAACATTTGTTTTTAAAATATATTCATGGCAGAGAGGTACATGCAGGGCGTTGTATGGCACAATAGTCCAAAAGACCACTTTACCAATAGTTTACCACTATTAGTATCATTACATATATAGTCTGAAGACACGTGTAGATTCACTGTTAATTTTGGACAGCATACAAAATGGCTATATTTACGTGTAGACAAACACCTGTTTTCTGTCAGCACTGTAAAATAAATCTGAGTCAGTGTTTCTCTACAGTGCACTACACTGAATGACTGTGTACAGCTTAGAGTTTGAAATACAGGCATTTTAAAAAATAAACAGAATTTCCCTTTTAATCTGTGTTTCAAGCTAGACTTCACAACAGTCGTCAAGCTCGTCATCCTGTGGCTTGTTTTCATTCTAAACTGTGTCTGTGAAAGAGGCGAGAGTGTTCTGTGCATTCCTGACAAAAAGTCTTAAAATGACATCAGTCCGGCCCTCCTCCCCCCTACAGCTTGCCGGAATTTGTGTGCAATAATGAAGGCATAGGCTATTAGGATTCAGGTCCACGCTTCAGATTATGCAATGGCCATCTTTTCTTCCAGGGAGTTTTTAGTCCCTCCAGACACTAGAAGCTTTACCCGATGCACAGCCTTTGTGTTTAAGCGAGCAAGTCATGCTGAGGTTACTGTGGAATGAAAAACACAAGGGAGCGCGGTGGGGAAAGTGTAGTCTTGTTGGGCCAGATTGCGGACGGGGCCAACATCGGCATTAATTACAAGCAACAGAGTCTGAAATAAAACAAAAACGACAAACGAACACCTCGAGAAACCTGAGCTTGTGGGAGTAAACCTGACGCTTTTGGGGGGAACCTGCGTGGGCGGTCTCCTTACTAACTACACAAGCAGCTGCGGAAACACTCGTATGAGGAGCAGTCACGGTTCTATGAAACCACACACACAATCTCTGGTCTCTTTTTCAGTTTTGTTTGGCAGCAGATAAAACTGTTAGCTACCTGCAGACTAGCCAGTTTATCATAACGATCACAATGGGATAAATTATTTTATATTTGATTTAACCAGGCAAGTCATTAAGAACATACCCTTATTTACAATAGCCTGGCAAGCAGCAGAAGCCACTTGAGGAAAAGAGAAAAACAAAAGAGGGATGAAAGTGTAACAATGAGAAATTATAATTCTGAAATGATTTAAATAAATGTATGATTTAAATGAAATGCTGTATTGTGATGCATTCATGCAAGGATAATTATTCTTCACTTTCTACATACTGGCCTACATGTACACTAACTTGATCATGGGTCAGTGCTTTGTCTCCTCTCATAGATTCTCAGAGATTTTTTAAGTTATGCTTTTTTAAATAAATAGGGCTTCACAAAATCTGCTGTCTACATGCTCAACAGTTTACTTTTCAAAAGAACATGATCTAGGTCAAGCAAACATCGGTAGAAGTGGATGTGTCCATCCATTCATCACTCTGGTTGTAGATATTAAAGAAATATCAATGAGTAGTCAATGGGAGTTCCTAGTTTAGCTGTATGGGAGACACCATGTCAAACAAGACCTCACAAGTCACTGATTAGAAGACAGACACTAGCAGTCAAAGCTTCGGACACCTATTATATGTTATTTTCCATATTTTACTATTTTTCACATTCTGGAAAAATAGCGAAGACATCAGAACTATGAAATAACACATATAGGATTATGTAACGACCCCCCCCCAAACAAACAAACAAATTAAACAAATCAAAACATATTTTATATGATGATTTTCCTACAGGCTTGAAGATTATATTATATATATATAAAATTTCACACAAAAGCATAAATTTTATTGCCATTTAAGAAAAATGGCAATTTCTTTCAGTATTAAGAAAAAAAAGCATATTCAGTTAAGGGTGTCCAAATATTTGACTTTTAGTGTATAGTACAAATAGCTTGTCTGTATTGTTGGGGTAAAATAAATGGTAGGCCTGTGCATTAGTCAGGAGATGGTGTGAATACAGTTAGGTGGAGACTGAAGATGTTAAAAGTCCCATTGCTACTGGCACTGGTATTAAAGACAAACCCCCAAATCAATCACACAAGCTCTACGAGCCATCAAGCAACTTTCAGTTGCAGTTAGCAGCTTCAGTTCAGGCGAGCAACCGGTGTACCTAATCCTTTCTTTGCTGACTTTATCCTGATTTTACCAGCACCCTCCCAGAGCCTGAAGGTGGACGTCCTGTAATAGCAGATAAACAGCTCCAAGCTCAGCAACAAACACCAAAGGACACAGTCTGATAAAACTGTCTTTCTAATACCAGTGTCCATCAGGGCCAGCACGGAAATCCTTCAGCATTTCTTCACCAGTGAAACACGTCCAAGAACTGTTGAACTTCGTACAGGTTTCACCACGGAAGGTCGTCTTCTAAAGGATAAAGTTATTGATCTGATCTTCCACAGTATTGTGGAGTGCTCAGTAAATATTAGTGCATACTATAGGAATACCATAAAACGAGTTAAAAATCAACTTCAGATTACAGCTTTTGTAGGAGAGGATCAATTTGTTTTCCCATTCATTACTATCTTACATGTAAGGCGTATAACCAGAGTCCAAGTCAATATACAAGGCATATAAACCAGTGTCTAAGAAAATAAAACATATAAACCAGTGTCTAAGAGAATATATAACATAAACCAGAGTTAAAGTCAATATATAAGGCATGTAAACCAGAATCTCTGTCTCCACATATGAACCATATAAACCTTCATCAACAACTAAGGCCTATAAACCTAATATATAAGACATGAAAACTACAGTCTAAGTCAACAAATACAGCATATAAACCAGAGCCTGTCTCCACATATGAAGCATGTAAACTTATGTCAATATATAAAGCATATAAACCAAATACACAGACCTATAGACCAGAGCCTAAGTCAATACTTAAGACATGTAAACCCGAGTCTAAGTCAATATAAGACATGTAAACCAGTCTAAGTTAATATAAGGTATATAAACCACAGTCTAAAATAATGTATAAGGAATATAGACCAGAGACTTAATATATAGGTCAAATAAACAAGAATGTAAGGGAACATGTAAACATATAAACCAGCCTCCAAGTCTCAACATATAAAATATAGTTTTGTGACAAATAAACGTGCATTTCTACACTGAAAAGTTACTCCTAGCTTTAGCTGATTAGGTGGAGCTGTGATGATTTCAACTAAAACAGTCCAGAAACTCACCTTAGAGGAATTTTGACGGCCAAATATCGGTCGATGGCCACCGCCAACAGGCTGAAGATGGAGCTCTGAGTGAGAACCAGCACGAAACAGGCCAGGAAAAGGCATCCGTAAAAGTCCGAGCAGAGTCCGATGCTGATGGTGATGGCGAAGGGGATGGCGAGGCAGCCCACCAGGATATCGGCCACGGCCAGCGACACCAGAAAGTAATTGGTGGCGTTTTTGAGAGTGGAGTTGATGGATACGGCCCAACACACCAGCACGTTGCCCGCTATCGACAAAACGGCGATGATCAATTCAATGGCGATGTAGACCGTATTCATCTTAGCGAAGAAGTGCAGGGAGAGAGAGAGAGAGTCACCGCCGGAGAGGAGCCTTCAGGACGCCGCGGGCAGTGAAGATCGCCGCCTTCTGCAACAGCTGTCCGCCACTTTCCCAACGTGGTTTGCGCAAACTGCCATCTGCGATTCGGAGAGGAAGCGAGAGCGCTGAGAGCGTGAAGACATGAAAACAACCCATGATAACAACACACCACTGCATCACCTCTGCCCTTCCTAAAAACTTCTACTTTTCTTTAATTAAAAAAAAAAGACCATCCTGTTTTCACTGAAGCTACTCAGACCTACTCTACTCTAGACTGAGCGGCCAGCCTGAACTGAAGAATGTGCAGAAACATCCGAAGCGAGTCTGCGCAAGTTCAGCTGTTTGCTTAGTTCCTTCCTCTACCACATGCCTCTGAGATGCCGCCTGACTCAGAGCTCTAACAGTGAGGTACAAAACGAGGCTTTTACAGGATCCGGACAGAAGTGCAGTCCTTATTATCGCTGAACAAACACTTACCCTCAGTGTGTGAAGCGCCGTGTTCCTGCTGTAATGAGCGGCAGCAGCGCCGAGCAGACAAACTTCAGCCACAGTGAGCGCGACGCACACATGGCTCTTCAAGCACCCACGTTAAGACCATCACAGAGCATGACCACGCCCCGCCCAGGCATAGCCACGCCCCGAATACAACCACGCCCTAATTTACAGTGGAGTTGGCAGTGCGATGTGTAAAAGCTTCCGACCACAGAACAACGTCATTGATTACGTATGAGCCAAAAACACAAGCTTGTAGTCCAACTTTCCTCACACATGTTTACAGGGAATGATGAAATGGGGAAAGAGGGGCATTTTGGGGTTTCACACTAATAATAGAATGATTTAATGTACAGTGGACCTAAACGGTGATTGGGCATCTGTGCCATTGTGTTTCTAGTTCCAAGACTGCCATTTCTCTTTCAAAAGGAGGCGGGTGTGCTTTCAGATAGTTGTGGTTTGAGCAGTTTCTTTGCAAATTTCTGCCAGTTCGCACCCAAAACGCGCTTCATACAGTTCTGAGTTCACGTGCCCTACAAACACAAGCTCACGACACAAGAGTAAGGAAAACAGCCTCAGACTTTGACGTTTACAGAGCTCTTAGTGTATTCTGGTTGGAATTCTTCTACAGCAGTGGTCTCCAACCCCGGAGACTTTCCTTCAGACCCTAGTTCCAGCCACAATCTGCCACACCTGCAGACTGGAGAAGAGGCTTGGGAAGCCTTGGGCCTCAACCTCTTCCCAAGTCCCTGACTGGCTGGATCATTAGTATTAGAGTTAAGTAAGGGGCGGGGCAGCTTACTGGATACAGGTTGGAACTAAACTCAGCAGGAAGGTATCTCTGCAGGACCACTGCTTTCTCCACACAGAGTCTACCATCAGTTTGGTGTCATGCTTAAAGTGTTAGTCTAGTAACCTAAAGAACTTAAATGGTTAAAGTGTCCAAGTACTTTTTGAGGCCACTGATATAACTGTCAGTTATTGTCAGTGTTGAACTACTGGTCTTGCCTTAGAGTTGATGACAGACAGGCTACACTTCAAACATTACTCTCAAAAAGGTTCCTAAATGGTTCTTGGATTAGACACATAGATCTAGGAGAACCTTTATCTGGTATAGAAGCTTTACATTAAGTAAAGGTTCTTTAAATGTTAAAAAAAAGGTTCTTCACACTCTCTGCTGAAAGGTTCTTTTAGGCACCAAAACTGGTTCTTCAGTGTCATCACTCCAAATCACCATTATTAGCAAAAAAAGGTGTTTTTTAAGAGAGAGAAAGTGAGAGGAGCCATTATATCGACTGCTCTCCACTGATTGTGTGGTTAAATCCCCCAAGCGTACTTTCCATTTCGCACCCACATGCATGTTTCACTGCTCTGGCACACGCTGTTTTAAAGGCTTTTAGTAGCCAACTAAAAGCTTCACTCCTCACTCCTGAATTCTTTGTCGCCCTTTCAGAGCAAAAATGATCATCAGTGTTGGTTTCTCTCTTTCCCGTAATCGCTGAGATTAACTGACCCTTGACAGAGTTATTTTGATCAAGAAGACTTTATTATCAATAGCAACTGTCCATTAATTTCTCTCTCCAAGCAAAACTGAAATGTTTAAGATAGAAAAGGTGACATTAAGATCGCACAGCATAGGAACATACAGGGTCAATAAATAAAAGCCAGTTCTTTTGAGATAAAAGAAAAAAAGCTGTAGGTTGTTTAACTTTGTCTACAATTACACTTTCATTTGGAACAGATGTTGTGTTTCTATAATCAATCATTTTCATAAAATATTTCTTCTATGTAGCATTAGTTTTAGTGTGTTGGAATTTGGCACAGGTTTGTCTCTAATTATAGAAAACAGCATGACAGTGAATGTCAGTCTTGTAAAATTTCCCCTTTCACATGTTAGTTTCTTCTAAGATACAGCATAAAGTGAAAACAGGTGACATCACCTAACTTTTATGTTCAGAAAAATCCTGCAATGACACAAATACAACCGTCTTCTTAACGCTGAGTGAACGTCCTTTGCGACTTATCAGACCTTTCAGAAAATATAGTAAATCTTAATAGTAATCTTTGTTAATTATAAGAGAACATACCCAACTCTTCTTCAAAGACCTGTAGATCTTTATCAAGTACCAATGTAATGTGTGCGTCCCTCTCTGCCAAATAAATTGAGAGCAAAGCCAAATTCAAAAATACCTCTATCTATTTATATTTATATATATTCCATACTTTTGGTAATAATCCATTCTCTATAAACAGTAACAGTCAAACTGCAGTCCAACACTGTGATCTGTACCGTGGTTCTAAACAGAAGTGACAAAAACAGCAACCTCAACCATTCAAAGCAACTTCAAACTTGAAATGAAATGAAGAAAGCAAGTGTGGCTTAAATCAGAGTGAATTTTCAGTCCATTAAACAGAAGTGAATGTAGAAAAGTGTTTGTTTGTTTGACAGTCTGATGTTGAGAAGAAGCTCAGATTTGTCTGCCATATCCTGGTGTGGAAGGGAAAAGAAAGTGGGCAGAAAGTGCTTCTGTGAACTTTTCTCACTTTCTATTAGTCCAGACAAAGGTCAAGTCTCAAAATACTTGTAGATCTGAGAAACGTACTGCATCACGCTCTGCCAGTCTGGCCTGTCTGTGTGCATCAGCTCATCAATGTCCTAATGATAAAGAGACAGAGACAGAGAGAGAGAGAGAGAGATGTTAAAACAAACTTTAATATGAGCAGGCATTTCAAAAGAAAGCATCTTCATTACTACAACAAGAAGACTGCACAAGAGTGGGTGATATGTAGGCGATGGGTATCGGGAACTGGCACTAGATTGGAACCGCTTCCTAGTATTCAGTATTTATAATTGTTTAATAGATTCTACATAGCAGATATTTTCAAATGGTTGGTGCTAGTTTGGATCAGCAGGTGCTCTCTGCTCTCTGTGATGAAAGCATTTGAATGCCTTCCCGGCTGAAAGAGTAAGGCGCTTAAAAGTGTGGTCTCACTTTACTGAATTTAATAATACAGCTAAATGCAATATATGTTAAGTGGTAGTTGCATGTAAAGCAACCACATGAAACACTTACAAATACAACATTCTATAAATCTGAAGCAGTGCAGAATATTTGCTTTAGCAAAGCGGCTGCTACACCTGTGTCTTCAGTGCAGCCTCTCGGTGTTGTGAAGAATTGTGCTGCATTGTGGAAATGCCCCACCGTAGGGCATATTTCCCTTCATACAAATCTAGACAAGATATTTTGATAGCTTAAATCACCTTATAAGAAATGCTACCAGCATTAAAACTACGAGGCTGAAGTCAGCTTCCCATCTGTGATCTTGTTTTAGAATTTTTCCCATTCCACCTTAAATGGTGGCACCTCAGGCATTATAATAACTGCTGCACCATTTACGGTGGAATGGGAAAATTCAAACAGAAAGCTGGCGGATAAGAAGCCAACTTCAGCATCAGATTAAAACTGCGGGTGGGATAGTTTGGTAGTCTAAATGTCCTTATCAGAAAATGTTTCCAGCATTAAAAGAATAATTAGGATATATGTTGATAGCCTAAATCAGCTTATTGGGGTAGTAATATTAAGTTGAGACTGTACAGAAATAAAATTTGGCAGCTAGCATAGCATAAATTGATAACTGCTAGGTAGTTTGAGCTTAGTGTGAGCTGTGCTGACATGTTGCTTATGGTTGTTAATATTCTCAGCTGTAGGGAGATGGCCACAGACATTTCACATCTTTTTACTTTGAATCTTTTCACATCTTTTCAAGTCATATCTTTGTTTTTATTGTGCCAAATTATGGAGAGAAGTATCAATAAGAGTATCAGTAAATATTGCATCGATAAGCATTATCAGTGTCAATATCTGTATCTTCAGGGATGTGGGAAAAATATAACATTACAATACTTGAAGATATTTTCAACTTTCACTTAAATGTACCACAATATTTTGTTGTGAGGATGCAAGGCATAAAATGCACCAGCAAAACAGCTGTGTCACTTTTAAAAAAGACCATGAAAAATAAAGAATGACTTTTTAACTCAGTATTAAGAAGGAACAGAAACCAAAGTTAAACACTGGGTAAAAATAAATAAATAAAGAAGATAATGGTGGACTGGGCTGACATCCAGTCAGCTACTCGTTCTGTGCGGTTTATGTACATGTGCTATGTTTTTTGTTTACAGGCTCTCTATAATTGGTCTAAATCTTCCTATATGGAGTCGTTCAGTGCTCTAAAAGTCCTGACAGTTCCCATGAACACTGTGTGATGATAACAATAACATGCTGTCATACTGCCCACACTTACAATAAGCTTAGACATAACAAGTGTGCCTAAATGGGCTACTGAAATAGTTCTTAACCACAAAACAGAATAACAGAAGAATAATCTCTTGTTCATCACATTAACATAATTTCATAATTGCCTATTTAATCTTATATTATGGATTAAAAAGTCTAGATTCATTTACATTCCGTCAGTGTGTAAGGCTGAGGATTTTCCTCTGTAAGTGTATGTATTTATGGGATGTGGGGATTAGAGGCTTGAGACACAGATCAGGGTTAGTAAGAGGTGTCAGTGCTCACTCGCCTTCCAAAACTGTGTCTAGCAGTACACACACCAACACTCTGCACAGACTGGCTTCAGAGTGTTTTCAACAGACTGTACACACATGATACGTGTCCTAGAAGTCAGTGTTCACCAGGAGTTAAAGAGTACTGACAGCTTCTACCTCAGTAAGAGTACTGTTACTGTACTTGACTACAAACATTTTTAATAAATAGTAAATAAAATAATAAAAATAAGGTGTTTAATGAAAAAGTACTTTAGTAATTAGTTGGAGTCATGTTTTTGGATATCTGCAATTCAGTGGTGGCTGGTGCTTTCTGACACAGGGGAGGCAGAGCTGCCAATAATAAAAATCGAATACTCATAAACAAAACAAAAACAAAAGTTTGGAGGCCATATTAAATGGATATCATTTTATATTCAGTCATTCATTTATGATATTATAGTGCTTTATCATTCTACAGTTCTGTTCATTATTCTAGACAAATTTAACACTTCTTTTACAGATTCTCAGTTTCCTACACATTTAAATCCTGAGAAGGTGCACAGGCTACTATACTATTCTAATGATAATTAGAATCATTTCATACATTTATCTGCAACCGAGTGGGCTTTATTCAATTAAAACATTGATTCCAAACTTTTGAATGTGAATCTATTTTCAAAGTAATCCTCTAAAATGAGGTGGACATTAGCAGAGTCTGCACTGCTGCTTATAAAAGCTGGTATAGCTGCTGTAAAACACCAAAGATGTTATGATTACACATGACACAACATTTACTAAACGCTTTACAGCTGACAGTTAACTTACTAAATAAAAGAAAATGACTCAAAAACTCAAAACTCTATTTACAATTTATTTATACTAATATTTTATAGGCAGCGATTGAAAAAGAATTTTATTGAGCCAGCGTTGCTAGTTTTCAAAGGGCTCTTCTGCCTCACTGTACACACATTCGACGGCTGACTAATTTGACTTGAGATGGCATTACAGTGTCTGTATTGGCAGCATGTTAGGAGATCCCGCCCCTTTGAGAGCTCCACCAATCATCACATACAGAAGCTGAGCTTCCAGATGGGATAAAAAGTACATCTGTGAAAACCTACAGTCCAATAAAGGTTTAGATGATTTTCATATGCAAAAAGCTCTCCTGATAGCCTCACAGACTCCCGAGCGAGACCCAGAATGCTGTTATAAAAGCCTGTGTTCCAATCAGTGTGGATCCTCGATCCAATAAAACAGTGTGTATTTGAATCTGCCTCTACTGAAGCCCAGCTTTAACAGGGTTCTGTAGGACAGACTTCTACTGACTTCCACAAACACATTCAAATTCACAGTTACTGTGTTACTGTGTTATTCAGTCTATTTGGTTTGGCCTTTAAAAAAAAAAATCAAAGTAAGAAGAAAACAGTAAATAAACTAGGGGGTCAGCTATTAGTTAAGGATGGCTGTGGCCCCCTGCCTCACCTTGACGGCACTAATGGAGATGAGTTCTGCTTTGTTTTGATGGGCTTTCAGAAATGAGTCTTTTAAATTAAACCAGACTTTCTTCTAATTGGTTTACAAACTGAAATGCACATTTGTTTTTACTCTGTAACGGTTATTGAAAATTAAAGTACTAAAGAACTAAAAGTACTTTATCATAAATTAATGTAGTATGTATTATGTATGTAGTATTAAGTACTATGATTTAATTCCATTCAAAAAGTACCTTTACTGGGAAAATTGTACTTAAGTACTGTATAAGAGTAAATATAATATGCTACTTTCCATTTCTGGTGTTCATACAAGATATACAACACAGTATGGAAGGACACTTGATTGATTTAGTAAAGCAATGTGAATGTGGCTCGGCCAATCGGATTTTACAAACTTTAATAAAGCATTAAGCACATGCTGAAATTATCAGTATGTGCAATTTTAGAGGATCAGTGACTAGATCATGTCTAGAAATGGCCCGGTTATACATTTAAGACACACTTTCCTTCTGTACTGTGATGTATTTCCAAGTGAAACATGGTGAGCACAGCTGAGCTCAGATGATAGGTGGAGTGGAAAAAGAGGGAGATAAAACATTATTATTGGTTAATATTTTTTCCCCATCCGCTGGTGCATGGAGATGTTTTTGAGGACAAGAACAAACATTAAGTTTTTTAAATGATGTGATGAATTATACTTAATATGACCAATGGTAAAAAGGGTCCATTTTCATTTCAGGTTGACTTCAAGCTCTTGATTTTGTACATGCCAGCTGCTTTAATAACCTGTTAATAAGATAACAGAGCCTCATTTTAGTGGGTACCTTCAACACTGCACCCACTGCACTGCGCACACAAATCATGTTCAGTGTAATAGCATGCACACGTGTGTGTGGTTGAGGTTTACACCTACAACCTTCTTTCCTTCCCCATCAATTTTCCATTTATGGTGCGGCATGATGAGAACATGCACTTCTGAAAGATGCTAGCGACTTAGCCGCTATTAGTGCCAAACTGACATCATCTCTGGCTCTTTTGTAAAGCAACGCTTGTAATAAATACAAATAAAACCAACAGCATCATTTTCTGAAAGCAAGCCTGAGGTTTATCTCTGCAAAAAGAAGGCTATAAAAAACCCATCCTGCCACTAAAGTAGCCTCAAGGCACATCTAACTAAAGGAAATGATGCGGCAGCTGCAAACTACACAAGATCTGGATGTTAGACCGTTGACTCAATAACAGTAATCATCTCTAATCAGAACTTTGTTCATTATTGTCAGTAAATCTGCACGAACATGGTCTGCTTTTCTGTTATTTTATGATCATATCAGCCGGCATTAGAACTTGAAGCTCGCTGATGTCATCAAGTTCATGGTTTAAAATTTGAGAGTCTGTTTTTTCAGTATTATTGGAATATCTTTTATTAATATTATATTCTAACTTATAGCTTATTATCTTAGTATGATATTAATCAACATGCTTGTACTATTCCCGTTCTCAACATCATCCCTAAACAATGTCTCATAACGCTATTGAGAGAGTTATTTAAGGTTCTACAGAATGTAACGTGACAGTTCTGCAAATGTACATAATTTGCCTTTACATGAATCA